TGCTTGCCATCAGAACTGTAGAAATCAGGGAAGTCTTGAATGTTCACTGGTGTCTTTTTCCTGAAGTAGTGTATCTTGCACATATCTCTTCCCCTTCCCTCTCCCCAGAGTATTTGTCTTGGATCAAAAAACCTGGCAAAATCACATAAGGGAGTATAACTTTTTGCCATGGGTCACACACCTGCACTCTTTGTGCCCTCCTGCAACAGATATTTTTTACTTTGATTTAGAGAACTGTTCTGTATCTTAAGATATGAAGATATGTGTAGGATTCTCATTCCTGTTCTTGGTGATTCAGCATTGTGCATTTCAACATCTATTTGTGAACAACTGCTACGAACAGACTCATTAGAAAGAAAGCTGTGTTTGTTTGCATGCTGTAGCATCCCAGTTGTTAGATGTTACTGCTAACAGCATAGAAAAAAATGAGAGATGTGTTCTTGCTCCAGAAAACATGGGTACTTTTACTGCTCATTTTTCTTATTTGTGAGAGATGACAATACCTGAAAAGCATACAGGAAAATTTTCACAATAATGGTGCAGTGACAAAAGTCACAGTTTGGTAGCCATTGAACTTCATACAATGCAAAAAAATCATCCTTGGAACAAAAACCTTACAATCTAAACACTGTATGAGAAGTAATCACAGGCCAGGTATGAAGATAAAAGCATTATCACATAAGAGACAATTAATTCTATTCTCAATTCTCCCACAATAATGACAGAATACATTCCCTTTGGATTGATATGTAATATTATGCTTATCTTCTATAATGTTTATAAGACTGTAGAAATCAACTGCTCCATGAAAAAAACACAACCCTCTAATTTTCCACTTCATGCCTTGATTAATAGAATTGTCCAAAAGTAGTTAAAAAATGTAATTTGTCTGAACACTGTGTTATGACATTTGAATAAAACAGATAACTAGGAGGGAGAAAGTGAACCTAAGGAAGCTGTAACCTCTAACGAACCTAACCTAAGGAAGTGGGTATACCTCTGCTGAGTTTATGTCCAGCACCCAATGCCAGCCAAATGCCAGTCAATCTCTTTCTAGGAAGTCGTGAAGACGAGGAAGAATAGTGAAAAATACCCAATTCTTGAAAAGTCAGAGCTCATCAAAAAGCTTCTCCATTTCTTTTTGCATCAGAAGCTGTTATAGGTTATAATCTGAGAGGTGAATTTTTTCTTTCCCTGCTTCACTGCAAGAAAAAATGGACTGAGTAGGGGGAAGGGAGCCGATTAGCATTACAAAAGGTCTAGCCGAATTCACTGCGTTGTTGGCTCTCGGGGTGAGACGGGGGTCTGCCTGCACGCAGGCATTTGGGGAGAGGGACTGGGGGGTCTGGTTTTCCTTTTGGCTGCTCATCCTGGTCAGCTCGACTTCTCATCCTGCTGGCTTCGGCGTGCCTGACCGCCCCGCTCCCCGGATCTGCTGTGCCTCATCGGAGAGTTTGCGTGCCCGCGGGAGAGAAGGGGGAGTTTTTTTTTGAGACGCCATCACTTGAGACAGCGGTGAGTCCCACGGGAGTGTACTGCCTGCCTCCCCTTTCTCCCCCACAGAGGGAAGGACCCCCCCTTTCCTTCCCGGCCCCCCCGCAGTCTGTGACCGCTCCCTCAGCTCCTCCTCTGCCCGCGGGGACCGCCGGGCCCACAGCGCCCCCTGCCGGCCACCACAGAGCTGCAGGCTCTGCGCCTCCAGCCACCCGACAGCGCCCCCTGCCGGCCACGGGTAGGGCTGCGCTGAAGGACAGGGAAGTGTTCCTTCGGACTTGTTTTGTTTTCCTAGGACTACTGCCTAGTTTTTTTGTGTTCTGTTACTGGTTTTGCCAACATACATATATCTTTTAATAAAGGGTTGTTATTTCTTCTGTTTTTTCCACACTTCCTCGATTAAAGCCCCTTAATTTTGAATTTACAACTGCTGAGAGAAGTTTGATCTGTCTCATAACTCATCCTCTTTAGCAAACATTCCAGAGACAGAAGCTTGGAAGTGGTTTGGCATTTTGGATTTCTGCAATCATTTGCCCGTTTTCAGGACCAGATAAAAAGCACAGAACAGAATGCAGGAAGGACAAACAGCAGAGCTGAACAATAGTTTCCACTAGTATAAGCAAAAGTGCTCTGATATTTGGGAAATCCAATAGGAAGCTTAGAACAGGGGAATTGGGAAAGGTGATTTGCCTTTTGAAAGGTGTGGACTGGAAACTTGCTGTCACCCAGTGTCAGTAGGTATCTGTTCCCACGAACAGTCTGGAACTCCGGGGTTCCCTTTGTAGGGAGCCTGGAGCGCACTGCTACCAGCTAAGGCACACACAGGATGAAGAACAGCCCACTGAAAGGGATGAAAACGGTGAGGGTGAAGACCCCGCTAAAATTGAGCAGTTATTCTTCCCTTGCTGTCCCTCTCTTTATGAAAAATGCCAGACATTGCAAACAAAAATTGCCATTCAAATGCTGTTCAAGCCCAAATGCATGTGGAATTCCATTAAGTACTTACATTTTTGACACCATATGGAAGCAGCATATCTCTGTTAGAAGTGGCAGTAAAATGCATAGCAGCTCATACTGCTCACTGGCAGATCACTCTATAGGTGAAAAGCTGTACTGGTCATGACAAAAAGTAATTTTAAAGTATTGTTTTATTTTAAAATTTGAGTACTCTTTTGAGGGTTCCCCTGGGATGAAGACAGAGGTGCATACTCTGCCACATCAGACAACTATGGAATTCTTCTGTAAGAAAAAACTGCAAAATTTTAGCATCATAAAATTTGACTAATAAATGGCCAGGCAGCCAGTGTAAGCACAATAATGGTGTGGCTGGAGACTTCTTCCACTACTAAAGGTGGTAATTTAAATAAATGGGAATAGTAATTACAATAAAAAGAAAAAAGCAAACCCAAAACCCAACAGTAGCAACCTACAGAATATAGGATTTAACTAAAAAAAAAAAAAAAAATGTTTCTTTTACATGAAAATTCAGTCTCATTTCCTGCATCTTACTTATAGTTCCTATTCTTTTTGTCCCATTACCTGTTGTGCAGATGACTTGCATATTGAACTGTTCAATGTTTTCATAAACAAGTCTTCTTGAGCTGTTCAAAAAGAGCTATAAAAACAAGGATACTGACCTGGTCATGCAAGCAAGTTGTTTCTGTAAGTTCTGTAAGAGCTCCAACAGAAAAGTAACTGTTGCCTTTCCAGGCTCCTGACCGGATGAAGGATTTGTTTCTCTCTCTCCAGCATCATGAGTATGCAATTGTATCAATGATCTCTCACATTTTTCCAGAATTTATTACTTCACCTCCTACTGTTCAGAATCTTCACGTAACAGGAAAAGGAAGCCTAACTTTAGAGATGGAAAGACTATACCTAAGAGAAAACCCCAAGTGTATCATGAGCATCGTACACTACAGTGTATTAGTGCCATGGTACAGCACTCAAGTGGAATGGCCAGGAATGCCCTTTGACTCTCACACTCAAACTATCTCACCAGTTAAGAAAAAGTTTTATGTCAACAGTTACTTTGGTCAACATCATTATCCCGCATTAAAACATACCATAATGACTTTTTGGTACATAAAAGCCTTCAAAATATATTGATCTTGCCTGCCAGAATTTTTACCCCGAGAACACCGTGTTGTGAAGTTTAATAGAAGTCTGTGCATTTAGTCACCCTTCTGGGTATGTGAAAATACCTTACATATGTAGTTAACTAATTTTTTTCCCCCATATGTTTCTATGCTCTTTCAATGGTGGAATATAATACTATCTGGAAATGTTTAATATTTTTGAGAAACATTAACTCAGGTAACAATAGTATTGCATCTACTTTGTAATCCCAGCACACAAACCTGTGCTTTAGTACTTTAAAAAATTGTTCAAGATAGGAATATTTCATGGTTATCAACAGGCAATATTTATTATTATAACTGTGGACTCTACACATATAGTTCCATAAAATTATAATAGACCAATCAACAAAATCATGTTCATATGCAACTGTAAATAGCACTTTAGCAGAAGTTTAACACGTTGTGCATTAGTTGTCTTAGTAAGGTGACAACATAGATAATTATTTCATGGGAATACAACTGTGCAAACTTTCACTCAGGGCATACACACAAACACATGAAAAGGATTGCTATACATGCCACAGGTTTAAAATAAACCTCAAACCAATCCCCCCCACCCCAAAACAAGTTAAATGAGTAAGTACCAGCACTCTTAGCAACCACCAGTGTTACCATATTTGAAGTCTTATTTGAAGAAATGCCCCTAGACTGGCGTTTTAAGTGTAATGCAGCTATGTTATGTTTTTGTTTGGCAAGATTGAAAGACTTACAGCACTACAGAAGCACTTAGCCAGTATATTACCAGTGATGTCTGAATTACTACATAAAGTAACTCTGTAGAATACTTGACTATTGAAGGAAACAGTGTTTTTATTTCAAAAGGTGACATACAACCAAAATTCAAGTATTTAGTGTTAGACTATAGGTAATTCTGACTTTCTGTTCCTGTGCACTACATAAAGCAGATGAAGCATTATTTCATTTTTCAATTTTTATTCTTCCCTCTGGCCTGGGGAAAGTATAAAGGGAAGAACCAAACTATAGCTGCAATTCTACATCTACGGCAGTTGGTGACAGGCATATGGGCACAACTGTCCAGATCAAGATGACCTCCAGATTGTCAACATGCAGCCTTAATACTCTCAGTTCTCTCCCATCTCAACACCTTCTTGTTCTTGACTGCAAGATCCCTGTTGCCCCTTACTTTTTATTTGCACCCGTTTCACCACCTGTTCCAATCATTTGCCCAGGCAGATGTTATCTTCTCTCATGCACAAGTGAGCAGCTTAGCTGCACAATGTCATCTTTGGATAATCAGGACATAAATGGGCAGAACAGTTCCTCTCTCATAACAGGTTTTGGGAACGTCTGGAGAGATATTTACACTTCCACCTCAGCATCAGTGAAAAAGGGCTGAAGACCATATAAGCTCGAAAAACACTTGTTTAATAAAACCAAATTCTGATTAAGTACATTTAAATTCCAAAGAAAAAAATGGCCTCTTGTATATTTTAATTACTGTCTAGATTAAAACTATTATGAACTACTAATTTTTTTAAAATTAAAAACACATTTTCTCCTGTTACCAAGTTAACCTCAAGACAGGAGTTAAACAGAAGTTACCATAAGCTTTGGTGAAAGAATCCTATACCTAGAGAGTTACAAAGAAGAGTTCAGACTGTAACAAAATTAGTAGCAGGCATGACTACAAAAGAAAAAAAAAAAGTAATGAGAAATCTAAAATTTGTCTCTCAAAAAAAGCATTTATAGCTTTTGGTGCACACACAGAGCACATCTTGTGAACATGGAGAATCAGAATGTGGAGGCTGTTTTACCAACTTTGCAATTTAATTGAGGAATGACAAACAACAGAAGGGTGAAAAACAAGGCCCACATGTATCGCGATTTAGTCCTCCAGTGCCTAAATATTTCTTGATTTGAAAATGACCAAGTACAGCAGAGACTGTGCCTTCAACAAGGAAAGGAAAAAACCTAAATTTAGGCTAGCCCTCTTCAAAGCATTTCTACAAGCAGTGTAACCACTATATTAATACATGAACAACACTTCTATTTCCCTGGATTTAAGGGCAAATAAACCATCAGAAACGCACTTGTAAAAGGATGAAAGCATCAGAAAACTATAAAGCAAGCAAGGACTGTGTGCCTGTATATATACATTTCTATAAACACACACACAAATGGTTGGGTTTTTTTGTTCATTTGTTTGTTTGTTTTCTTCGAATCAAAGCAGAACACAGTGTATTCTTTCAAATGGTTTTGGATGGGCAAGTATGAGTAAGATGGATAAAGAAAATGACAAAGGAAAAGAACAGTGAGATTTTATTTCCTTGGCCAAGTGGAAGTACAGAGATGTTACTTGCAGCACTTACTGTTCTTACCTTTTAGATCCCAACTCATCACAAATTACAGGATAACTACATCAGTGGTGGAATTTACCACACAACTTACATTTTCAAAATTATTTATTTTTCTTAAGAGTATCCCCACTTTACACAGGCTACGAACCTGAAGGAAACACATCTGCTTCTGAATGTTGTAATAGTATGTGTTTTGGGCAGTTCAAAGTCAAAGAAGTAGTCCTGAGATTTCAGATGTTAAAGCTTTCTCCACAGCCACATGTTCCTTTGATGTTTGGATTATTGAAAACAAATTCACTGGACAGCTTATCTTCTATATAGTCCATTTCAGTTCCTAGAAGTGTCAGCTGTGCCTTCTTCTCAATAAACACTCTAACCCCTTGAAGATAACAGAAAAAAAGAGGAATTACATACAGCAAAACCATCATTCCCTTTGAAATTCTCTTTTGCCAGGTGATTAAAAAAAAAGGAGCTAAATAAGAAGACTACCAGTATAACTTGGTTTCCCTGGTCTAATTTCATCACTGTTTTCACTCTACCTACAGAAGTTTGGCAACAGTCTAGAACCGTTACTTGTGTGTGGACATGCATGTCTGTATTGTGATGGGGGACAAAAAATAATGATACTGAGGAAAATAAGCTGTAGAACCTGTGAACGAATCTCAGCTTCAGTACACAATTCCCATGCATTACAGACAGTAAACCATTTCATACCCTTCTTAAAGTCTGTGAATCCAACAAGATGACCCAAAACTTTGAAAAAACAAATGTTCTTCTCTCAGAATGATTGGTTTTTCCCCCCCCCACCACCAAATGTTTTTCTGCTGCATCAGAAACTCACCATCTTGAACTACTTCTTCATCAGAGTCTCCTTTTGATTTTGTATACTCTAATGTGTAAGAAAGTCCATTGCATCCCCTTGTACGAACACCCACTTTCACACCCACCTAAAAAAAAAGACAACAAAAAGCCACCACCACATGCATGACTTCTCTTTTAAAACATATTGTGGAACATCAAGTTAAAAAGTATGCAGAACAACAAAATGCTGACATTTATTATTCTTCACTGCCTTAATAGAGAAATGAATTACCTTAATGGATTAAGAGGTAACATGTTTTTCCTTTTACAGATTTGACTGCCAAGGTAAAAGAAAACATCAGATACTTCCTGCTGTGGATCAAGCCTTAAAGGATGTTAAAGTTTTGAAATAACACATTGTTGGCATCCTTGTAGGTACCGGGTCTCATAAAGACAGTCAAATTTCAAAGACAGTATTTTTGTGACTTTAAGTTGAAGTTTACTCAGATGCTAAATCAGGTACTACGTAAAGATTATTGATGGTAACATAATTATAAAGCTGTGAGACCAGACAAGGGCAGCTAACAGATTTTCACAGAACTCTTGTAATGACACCATCAGAAAATTTAATTCAAACTGAAGTTCTGAAAAAACTTTGATTTCGTCACTACCTTTATTGCCAGTTTCACCTAAAAAGCAATCCCTTCAAGTATGTATATTTGCTTACTGTTTTAATTGACCTTAAAAGCTAACCTAGTCAATGTTTGTAACACAGCATTCAACAAGTCTGACAAAAAGAGTATATCTGTAAGGAAAGCGCTGAGAAAAGGTTTTAATGAAATCGAAAACTATCTGTGCACAACAATCTTTCAGAAGTATCTGTACCACCTTCCACACACCAGTGCTTCATAACTGAAGAGGCAAATTTTGTTATCTATCTCTGTAATCAATGTTATGATAAAAATGTATCAAAACATATCGCCTGCCATCAAATGGGCTCTCAGACAAACTACATCTGATCCTTTCAGACTAAATACCTTTCTCTACAGGAACTGCTACCAGTAATGTGCTGGAAAATGTAAACACCATTCATGGCAAGGGAATGACTGACCATGTAATTTGTAGGCCCAAGGCCTCCTTAGGATGGTTTAAAACATTAGAACAAATAGTCTAATGAGTTGCAGATGAGCAGGAAGCAAAACAAACAATGGGTCTTGTAGGAAAGAGAAAAGAGAAATAATTCTTCTTGTAATAGTAATACTTACAGTAAAGAAAATCTAATGCTTTTTTTTACAAAGGAAGACTGTGTCTTTTTTTACAAAGGAAGGCTATAAAGGAAGACTCTGTGTGTCTTTTGCTGAAGAAGAAAAGATGACAAGCTCAATTAGTTATTTGGGGAAACACTGATTACATGAAAAATACATTGTCTGGCAGGTTTCCTAAGAATTAGATGTTTTCTAATGCATATGAATATAACTTTATTATTGTATACTTCACAGTGAGAATTTCTAAAAGAACTTAAATTACTTCTTAATATCAACAACTGAAGATCTCTTTCCCCTCTAGAAGTCACCACTGTGCCGTACTAAAAGGCTTCATTAAAATGTAGCTCCAAAATATCTGAAGCTTAAAACTTCTTCAGTTTTTTTAATCTCAACAGTAACTGTACAGTGAAATGTCATTACAGTTGGTTATTTCCTGCATTTCATTTCATTCCTGCATTTCATTTTATAACAAAATGAAGCTTGACAGAGAATTGCATTCCCCTCCAAAAAAAAAGATGTCAATATCACTAATGAGCACCTCAGTGTTTATTTCAAACTTCTAAGTTAGCCAGAAATCGTTTGCAATCATGAGCTGAGCTGTGCTAATACCTTAGCACAATGTACAGACTGACTCTGTCTATCTATACTTACATGCTCAGGTTTATCTTTCAGAAGCTCTTTTATCTTCTGAACAGCAGATGGGGTCTGAAAGACAGAACCATACACATAAATTTGAAATTATTCTGTTTGTTTATTTGCTGTGTTTGCATGTATTAAAGTGTGCAGTGTACTTAATTTCACTGTAAAAAAATTTTATTCCAACTCTGTGTACTCAGATTTTCTTAGTTTACATTTGTCTTCCATCTGCAAAGTCCCCCTTCAGCATTAGCCACCTATCAGTATTGACTATTCTGTGTTCTACTTGCAACTGATGCCTGTGTGTATCTGAAGATACACACTCTGCTGTAAAACAGATGTCTGTTGAAACTAATCCATATAGAACACAATAACTCTTCACTTGCCTCCTCACCCACCTCAAGAAACGCAGTGCTTAAAAGTAGGGGCTTTGGTTGTTAGAATCATAGAATGGTTTGGGTTGGAAGGGACCTTAAAGATCACCTTGATCCAACCCACCTGCTGTGTGCAGGGAACCTTCCACTAGACCAGGCTGCTCAATGCCCCATGCAATGTGGTCTTGAACATTGCCAGAGATGGAGCATTCACAGCTTCGCTGAACAATCTGTTTTAGTGCCTCAACACCCTCACAAAGAAGAATTTCTTCCATAAATCTAACCTAAATTTCCCTCTTTCAGTCTGAACCCTCTACTCCTTGTCCTATCACTACAGTTCCTGACAAAGAGTCCCTCTCTGGCTTCCCTGCAGGCCCCCTCTGGATAGTGGAAGGTTGCCATGAGGTCTGCATGTAACCTTCTCTTCTCCAGGCAGAACAGCCCCAACTTTCTTGGCCTGTGTTTGTAGGGGAGGTGCTCTGCTCCCGTTATCAACTTCGTGGCCTCCTCTGGACCTGCTCCAACAGTTCCATGTCTGTTTTGTGTTGGGGACACTAGAGCTGAATGCAGTACTTTGGTGGGGTCTCACCAGAGCAGAGTAGAAGGGCAGAATCATCTCTTTCACCCTGCTGGCCACACTGCTTTTGATGAGCCCAGGATATGACTGACTTTTTGGTCTGCAAGTGCACATTGCTGGGTCATGTCCAGCTTCTCATCCACCAGCACCCGCGAAGCTTCTCAATTAGGCACAGGAGGGCTTATGGCCTACTTCTCTCTTCCCATTATCCTAGAGGGTGACTTTACAGCAGATAAAATTCACTGTTCATGCAAATCTAGTTGTTGCAGAAATTCAAGAATACAACACAAGCATTAAAATTTCCATCACATGCCTACAAGTTTCTAAGACACTGAGAAAAGCAAAAGCATTAGTAAGATGAAGTTCTTACACTGAGCCGGCTTAAACATACAAAGCAAACCACAAACAGCCTTGCAGTAGAAAATTTTTTCTAATTACTGCTCCCACTCTTCGTTTGTTACAGAACCACTACTGAAAAGGCACCACCTGCTCTGACAAACGACTGAACTGTGTGCGCACACAATCTGCCCCTGCTCCTGGAGGGAACTGACTGTACTTTCCTCTGCACTGACCCCTCTCACGACCAATTAGGCTGGAAAAGACCTCTGAGATCATCGAGTCCAACCCATGACCGAACACCAAGTTTTAAAGCGTGGCCTCCCCAGTACGGCCGCTAGTACAGAATGCACTTCCTTTATTATTAACAACAGGACATAAATCCTTCGTGGAAACAACCTATTCGTCAGCTTTGGTAGGTAATGCATTTCCTTTTTAAAAAAATTTTAAATAAATGCATAAAATACACTTCCTGGGGTGCCTGGGCAACAAGGCCCCGTGCACGAAGGGCCGCTCTGGTCCTGCCCTGGGACTCCGCGGTTCCCCAGCCGGCGCGGGGGACCTTCTGTCAGCGGGATTAGCGAGGAGCAGCAGCCCCTGAACTCGAAGGGGGAAGGACAGCCCCCCGGCCGCTCGCAGCACTCCCCTCCGAGCATCGCCCGCCGCAGGGGGGGGGGCTCCGGCGCCCGCGGTCCCCCCGCGCTTCCCGCCAAGCAGCCCGGCCCCGTCCTCGTCCCCACTCGCCTCGCCAGGGCGGCCGCCTCCCCGGACCCGGGGCGGGGAGCCGTGGCCATTTCCCGCACCCCTGAGGAGCCTCGGCCCCGGGCCCTGCCCCGCGCCCACCGCGGCAGCTACAGGGTAGGAGCGGCGCGGGTCGCCTGATCCTGCCTTGCTGACGGCGCGCACCGTAGCGACGCACCAGGAGAGGCCATCCCGCCGCCCTGGCCATCAGCAGGGCCGCCCGCCCCACTGACCGCCACCGCGCACGCACCGCCGCCGGCCCGCCTGACGAGCGGCGGCTCCGCCGGCCCGGGCGGCCCCGCCGGCGGCGGGCTGCGCGCTGCGATAAAGGGCCGGCGGGTCGGACGCGCTGCTCTTCAGGGTGCACCCGCGGGGGACGCAGCGAAAACAGCTGTCTGGTGTCACGTGAAAAGGGAAGGTTTTTCTCGAATCCTTTAATGTTTGATTAGTCTGTCGGCGCCCCTGAAGGACTCACGTTAACTGATGATGGAATAACAGTCTTTATTGATACAGAACGTTAAGGGGTTGGAATTGACCTTAAAGATAAAATCCAGCCCTGGTATCCTGCCGTGGGCAAGGACACCATCCGCTAGACCAGGTTGCTGAAGGCCCTATCCAGCCTGGCTTTGAACATTGCCAGGGTTGAAACATCTGCAACCTGCTTGGGCAGCCTGTCCCAGCATTTCACCAACTTCACAGTAAAGAATTTCTTCCTAATATCTAACCTAAATTTCCCCTCTTGTTCTATCACTACAGTTCCTGACAGAGTCCCTCTCTGGCTTCCCTGTAAACCTCCTTTAGATACTGGAAGGTCACTCAGTTCTCCACACAACCTTCTCTTCTCCAGGCTGAACAGCCTCGACTTTCTCAGCCTATCTTGGAAGGGGAGATGCTCCAGTACTCTTACTAACTTCGTTGCCCTTTTCTGGACTTGCTCCAACGATTCCATGCTCTTAAGTTGGGGACACCAGAACTGTACACAGCACTCCAGGTGAGGTCTCACCAGAGAAGAGCAGAGAGGCAGGATTGTCTCCCTCAGCCTGCTGGCTATGCTGCTTTTGATGCAGCCCAGGATTCTAACAAGGCAAGTTTCAGTGGTTGCTGGTGATAATATCTGACTGCAAAAACGTATTCAAAGCAACCTATTAACGAGCTCTAATCCCAAAGAAAAGCTAGCTGAAGATAGTAATTCAGTGTGCATAGAACACTGTTCCTACCTGATAGGCATCCCCATGGGGGAAAAGATGGGTTCAGCCTGTTGACTGACCCCAAAAATTATGATGGAGTCTTCCCTAATTTCCCCCTATTCTTAACTCACTTTTGTATTATTTCCTTATGTTTAGGTAGAGCTTGAGTGACTCCAATCATACATCTTACTCAGTGAGCAGTGGTCATACCCTGGGGTGGATATCTCAGTTAGTACCTGAAATAACCTTGGGATGGGAAATGCATCAGTCCAAGGAGAATGATTTCACCATGGTTGCTGATTCAACAGTGGGATGTCTTCCTTTATCTCTCTTGGTTTTCAGCTGCCGTGCAGCTTATCAGCTAGAAAGTACCACCAAATTTCCTCCTGTGCCAGGGAGCATGGCTTACAGTGTCTCCGTTCTGCTCTACACACCATTTAGTCCTGATACTAGAGTTTTGAAGTGTAACAGGACTAGTACAAGAGAATGTACCATGGAAAATTACCTATAGCTGAGCCAAGCAATTTAAAGAAACTAGCCAAGCAAAGTAAATAAACAATGAAGAATGGGACCAAAACAGCCAGGTGGGCAACACCCATTTACTCTGTAACCAGGTGTATTGTCTTAAAGATGTTCATAAGGCAGTCACTTAGAACTTTGGGGGCTCCAGACAGAAATGACCACCAGAGACCCCTGGTGAAGCCACTGAGAGATCTTATAAGGATATATGCTAATAAGTGTTGGGAAATGTCATAATATGTAACAGGAATGCAGAGAACAAAAATTAATAATCATGTAATGCTGACATATCAGCTGTAGCGAAGATACCTCTGTGTGCACTTTGGGTTGGGATAAGGCTGTTTATTTAAAGCAAAAAGCAAACTGTAAGCTTATGTGCGCAAAAGTGAAGCGAAGCGAAAGATAGCAGGGTTTTTTCTCTACTTCCCATGAGCAGCGATGGTCAGACACTCCCGAGCAGCAGGGCTTCAGGACATGTGATGATTCCTCAGCAGGCAGCCATTGGAGACAATGAATGCCTGCCTTCCTGCTCCATGCTTTAGCTTTTCTATCTGAGCTGACATCATATGGTATGGAATACCCCTTTTTGTTAGTTGGCCTACTTGGGTCCCCTCCCAGGATCTTGCCCTCAGCTAAGGAAGGAATGTTACAGTGCCGATGCTGTGCTCAGCAGTAGCCAAAACAGTGGTGTGTTATCGACACCCTTCTAGCTACCAATGCAAAGCACAGCACTGTGAGGGCTACTGTGAGGAAATGAACTCCAGCTCAGCTAAACCCAATATAATCACTCACAGTCTTTATGCAGGCATAAAGGGACAGAGTATGCAAGTGGCTCAAAAGAGGTCTTCTAAAACTATTTGTTTATTAGTATTTATTACTACATTTTATTAGTATGAATTTAGTTGTAAACTATTATCTTATTACTGTTACTTTTAATATAATTCCTTTTCTAGAAACTTTTTACTAATGCAGTGTGTCTATGTGCAAAGTTGCTCCCTTGAGAACATACTCTCATGAGGCAAACAGGGTATCTTCTATGTCAAGAATTGTTATGAAGAACTTACAGGTCTCCAATTTTAATTTTCAATCTCCTATACTTTACAACTTAGTCCAGCAGATATATATGCTATGCCTCCTCAACTGCATTTCTTCTATGTCAGACATCCTGTAAATTATGACTGTGGTATTTAAAAACTTTTTAAACAAACAAGGGATTGCTTAATAGTTTAATGTCTGTAATATATATCCCAAGTTTAGGCATTTCACTTCAGGGCTCTGAGATTAGCAACTATATAGAATTAGTAGTTGCATAAGGAAACAGCATCTTCAAATGAGAAGACTCGTGGATCTGCAGAATGA